TTCAATAATTATAAATTACATATCATTCAAAATCTTACTGCAATATTATCCCTTGATTCTATTTAGCCAAACGCTGGATTCCAATCTCTCGGAACTGAAAACTAATTGAAGCTTTTACTAGATCCTCCAGAAAAAAAAAAATCACAGAATAATTGGGAATAGCTCTGATCTGTACCTTTGCACAAAGCTTAATCATTTGGACATGGAAAATGCAACACTGTTGCTTCCTCCCAACCAACACAGAAACCAAATAATTCTAACAGAGAGTTGTCTTACCACAAACCTCCCCACTCAGGTAGGTACAAACTTTGCATAAATCATCATCTTCTTTTTAATTATTGCTTGATTAGATGTCTTCATACACTTAAGTACAATTATGCAACTATATATACATTTTTGCTCACATATGTATTTCACTTTGGCCACTATTACATTTTTCCTTTCGGCCTTTTGGGGCCGATCTATGCCATATGAATGGCACATAGGATAATATGTGACCTAAGGATTACTTTATTTATTTCTTGATTCAGTAATATTATCCTCAATGATTTCATATCACCTTCATATATAATATAGAAATTTTAATATCTATATACATATATATTCCATATCTTGGAATAATAGTTAAATTTATCACTTGAGAAACTAGCACTCTTTTTTGCTTATGGGAGACAGAGTTGGTGACCATCACAACGACACATAACCATTAAAAAGGGTTGTTCTTCCTATATATATATTCTCTTACTTTGAACTTGTAAATCATAAGCTTTTGACTCCTACACACCCAACATATGGTGGAAGCATGGTGTGCTATTTCCCCTTTTTTTTTCTCCACATTGTAGAGACAATTGCTCCTAGCCCTAGAGCTGGCATGATATGTTTGTCAATAGCCTATATATAAGAAAATAAAAAATGAAAAGCAAACTAAGAAAGAGTCCAAACCACTGTATCGAGATGAAAGAAAAAGTTATTAATGGATCCTACTGTATCATCATATATATATATATATATATATATATATTGATGAACCAGTTAAGACCTGGTGAAATCAGCAGATTCAAATTTAAGGATTAAGGAATAGCAAAGACTAGAATCCAGGGAGGCAGACTTTGGATGCTCACATTTGTGCTAATTATGGAAATGTAATATCTGTGGGGTAATCTTTCACAAGCTTGTTGTCTGTGTATTGTGAGGTGGTCTATCTCAACTGTTTGTCTGATTAGAGGGACTCTTTCCATCAGCATGTGGTGAAGTGCCCCACAATTAATCCTTCTGCTAAGACATTGTTACGTATGTATGCATGTATACTTTTATCATCGCATTAATAAAAGCAATATATTATCCCTATTTTGAAACAAAAAATAATAATAAAAAAAAACTCATCAGATTCGCAATTCTGTTTCACTATTTTGATGTCTACCGGTCGTTGCATTGAGCTTAGCTTTTTTCTGATAAGACAATATGAAGGGTCCTTGTTTCCATTTGGTGACAAATTAATTACTTTTCTTTTTCTCAATTTCCCCTGGAGATCAGCATCATGTATATCAGTAAATGTCTGGCTGCAATGTCTTTCATTTGTTTCATAGTCGTTCATAATTGATTTTTGAAGATACATATACATGAATATGTATGTATGTTAATATGCTTATAAGGCATACAGTTGTTTATATATTCGACTAGGGAGAAGTATATCCGAATATATAGTATGATCAGAATATTACATGTATAGCCTAAGACAGAAGCATGCTGCCCATCCTGGCGATGAAAAATGGGGATGTGTTCGGGGGTGGGGAGTTGATTGTTATTCTTTAATTGTTGATCTGGACAGGATCAGAGGCACCATACTTTAATTTGTCTCATAGCATATTGTATATAATCATCCAAATTAATTAAAAATACAAAAGTGGGAACATCGTTTTCATTCCTCTGTATATTAATCATTTTATCTTTTCTAATTCAGTTTCAGCCTTGTACATTTTCCTCTTGCAACAAAGGAAAGACTAGAGAGATGGCTTCACATTTTCTTTCTTCTTTTGTTAGACAAAGAGGAAATGAACCCTTGATGGTGATGTATGTAAGGTGAGAGATAAGTGTAGTTTTAGCCTTAGGATTCTGGTATCAGTTCCTATCCAAGATTATTTTGCACTCACAGAAGTAAGCATATGTATGTCTGTAGAGGACCCATAACCTGCTTTTTGGACTTTGGTCGGTAAGGGAGGGATTAAGACATCCATTGGATATTTCAAGTCTAACCCTGTTGAACAACCGTTTAGAATTTCTGATCTGTATGCCTTTTTGAATGACTATATATTTCCTAAACAAATATCAAGTGCAAACAATGATGAAATTTGTGAATGTATCGATCAGCATATGATGACTTTATACACTGTGGCCGGGATAAGGTTATTTTGAGCACTAATTAAATTAAACCTCCTTAGGTTGTTATAGCATACTGTAAAGTTAAGTTGTTAGCTTCATTGGTTTAATTAAACTAATATGATTTCTAGAAATCAATAATAATGGACTCTCTCTTCCTTTTTCAAGTGGCTACAACGACAAGTGGCTACAACGACATATAGATTCTATTAAAATCTTTGATTAAATCTACGCCATTCACGCCACCACTGCAATGTCACCTAGTTGTTGTTAGCCGACTTAGATTTAGTATTAAGTAATCATCCCTCAGTTACAAGAATCTTTGCCACAACCATATTGTTTATGACCTTCAAGGCAATCTGCTTCAACTCTTCCAACTAGGTCGGTTGCCAAGATGTTCATATTTCAAAGAATGGGAACAAAACGAGGAATCATAGTTGCCTAATTCAGGATTTTATATAAACATTGGAAACAATCAGTAGTACACATTATTCACCTTACTTGTTCACCCTACCCAATTATTGGGGGTATCTGACCATCCCAGTACATACTTTCAATTCCCAAGAGCTATGTCTGATATAAATCAGAAAAAAAAAAACCATAATAAGTTTTGAAAATTAGAAAAACATTTCTTTATTTTTGGGTTCAAAGTACAGATTCATAACTCATTGCTGTCCTCTTCAATCTTTCACCTTTTCTTTTTTCCCGGGAGCCTTGTTGAGTCCACATCATTGACATATATGTACACAAATATAATATAAGGGTGGATGAGATGACCGTCTACCTAAAATTTATTCAAGGCAGAAAATTAAGCAAAAGTGGGAGTGAGTTCAGACTGTGTGCTTATGGTCACGCAACTGACAAATCGGCTTGTCCATGTTTAGAACTCTTTCTATTCATTTAATAGTGTTTAAGAGCATTTGATTCATGAGTGGGCATGCTTAGCTAATTTGTCTGATACCGTAACTCAACTTTTTAAACCGAAATCACAGCCACCTTATTGGATAAGGGAGCCTAATAATATAAATTGCATAAATTCTGAAACAGTTAGAAGAGATTTCCATTTCTTAATTATGTTAAATTTGACGAGTTATGCATCATTCAGTCATTTTAATGCAGATATAAAACCTGTCAACCACCAGATAGAGACCAATTTGCCTCACAGCCATAAAATGCTGGAGAAAGTTTCAAACCTCTCTTATTGACTATTGAAGGAGCTATGCCAATCAAACAGAAAGCAAAAGAGGAAAAACAAAAAACATAAAAAAGATTCTAGGCCCTGGAGGAAACCTCTACGTACCAAATACCAACATCCATGGAATTGTGCCTTCCAATCCTATCGCAGCCCACGCACAAATTCTATATCAAGAATAGTATGGACACACTAGAACCGGTTAACTGCTGGGGTCTACACAGCCAAGCATCTCTGGTTCTGTCTACTCAAATAACATTTTTTTTTTCTATATAATGTTCAATTCATTTGCATTTGCCACGTCACTTCTGTCATGTTTCTTTAACATCAAATCAGCAAGAGAGGCGAGGTATACATGCAGCATCCAGTAGGAATGGACTTGAGGATACGTCACCTAGTAGTAGGGAATAAGATGATCCTATCTAGCACTAGCAGTCTCAACTCTGAACAAATGAGGTAGAGTTTGGTTATTTTCCGACAACATCCGATCAAATTAGAAAAGTTGCAATAGATTAACATGATATTTAGGTTCTCCATGCGTTAATGAGCAGTAGTGTAGAAAACGGGTCATGGACAGAGACGTAAGTGGCCTAGCCTGCCCTGAACTTGGTTTTTGCGGGAAAGATGTGGACACCAACTGCATGTGCTTCTTGAATCATACCAATGCCGTCGGTTACCTTCCTCAAGAATATGATACAACCCTTCATCATTTTATTTATTCTGCTTTTCTGATATTTTCGAGTTTGGTTGGGACCAGCATAGTGCCTAATGCCTGGTGGAGGTGCAGTATCATTTTCTACTTGAATCTTCCTAAACTCCAACAACTCCATTCATTCTCATGAGGCTCAAATTCAAAACATTAATGACCAAATAATATGCAGCAATGTTATTTTGGGAGTCACAACCCTCGTGTGATGTTCGTGGGCCGCTCAAGTGTTTACCATTTTACTTTCTAATTAGGCCTATGAGTAATGGGCTTCCACATCAAGGCCCCATGCCGATTCGTTAAACAAAGTCTTGGGCTTTTATTTATACATTCTTTCTGGTTTCTGATGTTGGAAACAATTTTTCCCTTTAGGTTTTCCTATGCATTTTATGATGGAAAATATATTTGGCAATTTAATTTTAAAATCAAGAAATATAAAACAGTATGATGTATTTACATGGGAACATTTCAAGTGTTGAAAAATGAAAAGTTTGAGACATAATAAAGAAAAAGGAGACAAAGTTTTATTGGGTTTTGACATGCAAAATAACCAAAAAAAAAAAAAATTCTTCGACTTACCAAAGGAGAAAAACACCAGTCGTCTGGGCTGGGCTCCTAATTGGCGGGTTTGAAAGTAGCCCAGATTATTGGCGGGAAAGAAAAATGCAGCCCAGATCACCCCAACCCGGCCCACTTCCTCTATAATAAAATATGAATGGTAAAAGTTCATAGGCGACAGGTTGGAGTCGACAAGGGTAGAAGTGGATAGGTGAGGGAACTGTGGAAGATGCAGAAGACGGGAACGTGTTCAACATCATTTTGTAATTCAACGTTTGGCTTCACTTCTCTTCACCATGGCAGCGGCAGCGCCAGCCACAGTATTAAGCAGAAGAACACCGCTTTCTCTCTCTCATTTCCTTTGAGGAGAACCATTTTCGCTTCTTCCTTGGCTCCACTTTCCCAACAAACCCATTTAACTTTTCTTTCAGTTTTCCCAAATAAAGATTCTAATAAGTTTCGGGCTTCTGCTTTTAATAAAGGAAAACAAGGCGGCACTACTCTCTACGAAATGGACGGTTCTGACGAGGAGGAGGAGGATGAATTCTTTGATTTTGATGATGGATTGGACGGTGGTGATGACGACTGCGATGAGGGGATGTTTCTTCCGTTTGGGAAAATGAAGAAGTGGCTTGAGAACAAGCCTCGTGGGTTCGGTGAAGGGAAAGTATATGATACTTCTATTGAAGACAAGCTGCTTGAAGAAATAGAGCAAAGCCGACAAGCGCAAGTTGTTAATGTCAATAATCTCAAAAACAATCCTGTCAAGTCTGGTTCCAAGAAAGGTTAGGCCTTTTGAAGTTTAAGAGTAACATATATTAAAAGGGTTTGCTTGGGTATGACTTTTATGGCTTTTGTGGTGAGCATTTCATTTTTCCGCAGTAGCTGAAGTTGTTCCAAGTGGAGTTCGGGTGAGGGTGGTCAACCTTCCTAAGAAAAAGAATATTCACAGGGATTTGAAAGCTGCTTTCAATGGGGTTTCTGGAATAATTGATATATCTCCAGCTGTTTCTGGGAATAAGAAGACCAAAGACCCTGTTTGCAAAGGTTTTGCCTTTGTTGATTTCAAGCGTGAGGTGGATGCAACTAGGTATGGTGTGATAAGAGTCTGTATTTGCAAACTTTAGTCATTGTTAATTGAAAATTTTGTGTTAGAGAAACTGATGGCAATGGTGATAGCAAAAAGACTACCTGTTTGTAGGTTTTTCTAGGAAATTTTTGCGTTTTTATTTTATAAGCAATATTGCATCTGGGTTTAACTGACCTCAGGTGCCATCAAGGACGGAGCCAGAGTGTTCGAAGGGGGCTGTTCCCCCCTGGCTTTTTGACGTCTCCTGTACTCCATTCCATGAGCCACACATTGTCTTTTGCATAATTGCAATGTAGTACAAACAATCATATATGATTTTAGTATTATAACATATAGCACAATTTGAATCTGTTTTTGTAAAAATAATATTTCTATTTAGATTTCTTTTTTAAATTATGGTTACTACATATATTCAAATTTTTAGTATGATGATTTATCATGTTTAGTGCAACTTAAATTATATTATAACATTTGTTTGTTTGAAGTTGAACTTGGCTCCCCTTGGAAAATATTTCTGGCTGTGTCCCTGGGTGGCTTATTGTTTTTGTTTTTAGCCATTTGATATCTTACTATGTTCTTTAACTGAAATTTCTCTTATGGCAGGTTTGTGCAAAATTTTTCTGGACATAATATAATGTTTGGTAGGATTCAGAAGCAAATAAAATGTGAGATGATGAATTTGCTTTGCCAGAATCCTGCTCATGAAGAATTGAGTGACAAGGATTCCATCACACCTGAAGTGGCAGTTCCTGGCTTGGGAGACTGTCCCAATACTGATTGTGATATGAACATTTCTTGCTCGGATTTATCATTTGATGATCAGGATGAGGAGTTTGACAGGGTAGAACAAGGAGAAGGTAGAGATAATCTTAATGTTATTAGTGAATCAGGGCCAAGTAATGGTGATGAGCGTGCAGCAGATTCAACTTCCTCAAATCAGCTAGAAAGAATTAGGGCTCTTGAGCAAAAGCTACTTGCTAGAGGAAAACATCAAGGAGTTCCAAAAGAGCAAAAGGGTCAAAAGCTAGAAAGAATTGGGGGTATTGAGAAAAAGCCACTTGCTAAAGGAAAGCAGCAAAAAGATCCACAAGAGCAGAAGGTTCAAAAGCTCAACATTCCAGGATCTGCGAAGAGGTAATTGCCTGCATTATTGCAATCAATTGGTGAATGGTTATTTTATTTTATTTTAATATGGTTTAAAATCCAAAGTTGTTTTATCTTTGTGCAGGTTAAAGATTAAGGAGAAGGCTCTGCTAACAGGGGTCTTCTCCAAATATGGGTTGAAAACTGCTTTGACTTGGAAGGAAGAGTCGTAATGGGCAAATGTGTAGATTATTTGATACTTGTTATGCTAGATGGAAGCATAGTTGCGGTTTAGTACAGTCTAGCATTTAGGTTTAAACTGCCCGCCGATGCACGAAGCTTGTTATTCATGAATACGTGTGACCCTCCATGAACTTTGTAATACATTTCAAGGTGGAATCATTCAATCTTCAGAAGCATATTAGGTTTCAAATGGTCACATATTGTCTTCTGAGCTTCCTATGAATGCGAGAGGGTGTTTTTGTTACTTTTAATTTTTTGCAAGCCACACCTTTTGATTGGCCCTTTTAGATCATTTATTTGAATATTAATTTATCAATTCCATTTGTTACTTGAAAGTTATTTTAATCTTCCAAAACATCATTTGTTTATTTTCATTTTCATATTAAATCAAAGGGAAAACAAAACTTTAAAGAATAAAATAAACAATTAAATTATGTAATAAACATCAACAAAATGAAATATGGAATTAGGAACTTCCCAAAAAAAAAAA